GTCTCTCTTCTTTCATCTATAAAAGGGGAATAATAACATCTACCCTCACAAAGTTGTGTAAGGATGAAATGAAAGGGCATATGGAAGTACTCAAGAGAGTGCCTGGTACACAGCATGCTCTATACAAGCATTCATTATTACCATTGATATTACTAAAGGACCTTCAGAATTATAATATGTTAGTACTTTTTACCTTCAGGAATTTTTCTTTCTTCCAGTTTCCTGAAAAACTTAAATAAACCAGGAAACAATATTTGAAGGAAGCCTGTGTTAGCTTAAAAACTCATCCACTAAAAATTCAGAGACTATACATATCAGGGCTCTTCAAAGTCAGATGAAAGGGGGCACACATTCTTTCACAGATCATATCTTTGCAATACTCTTAAAATAGTCAAACGATAATATTTCACATACAAAACAAAATTCTAGTCTAGTGCAGCAATGGACAAATGGTCATTACTATTTATTCCAAAAACTCTCAGGAGAAGAAGCAAAACTGAGAAAATTAATAGTTCAGTTTTGGATATTCTAAATTTGAGGTGCTCACAGAATACTTAACAGACATCCCAGGAAGCAGACAGAACTACAGACCTAAATGTAAGTAGCTTGTCCTCAGAAGAGTTCATTATTCCCTCCTTGGTACTACCACGGAATTTTTTACAACCTATTTCATTAAAAATATTTGTCTCCTTCTCTACTGCTAGACTATATGCCTCTTGAAGACATTCAGTTCCTGCCATATAAGAAGGATTCAGTAAATGATTTTTAGCTGGTCACAGTGGCACATCCCTATGGTCCAAGCTACTTGGGAGACAGGGGCAGGAGGGTCACTTGTGCCAAGGATTTGGGCAACCCCATCTAAAAAATACAAAGGCAATTTTTTTTAATGCAAAAACTGCAGAACTGTGCAATTCAAATAATGGATTTTATTATATGTAAGAAAATTCTGATTAAAATTTTTTTAATTTGTAGATGTTAGATAAGGATGAAACTTTCATTTGGAAGAATTCTTACAATATAAAAGTAACACGTAAACAAGAGTTTCTAAATTGTTATTGCTATTTATCCCTAAAATTCCCAATTTTTAAAGACATGGTGACATTAGAATTACTAAGCACTACTGAGCTGTGAAACCTGGCATCATGACCAGAGCTGTAACCCTGAAAAAGTACAGGACAAAGCAAGAAATATATAAATGGGTAAAGTAAGGAAGAACTCATTGAAGACTCTCAAAGTGCATTTAAATTCATCAAAATTCTTAAGAAGTTGGTTAAAATACCTGTAATGTTCACTGAAAAGATTTCACTTTCAAATTTACAGGCTGCTTGAGTTCAATAACCTAAAAATGAAAAACCTCTGGACCATTCCATACAGGTTATTCAAAGGAGCTGTGATAGAGCATATAGCAAATGTGCTCAGTTATATGCACTAGATAAGGCACAACTGCTATCATCCCAATCCACTAACACTTGTTAGACTACTAATTCCCTCCTTTAAAATCTGTAAGAAGGGGCCAGGCACAGTAGTTCATGCCTGAAATCCCAGCACTTTGGGAGGCCAAAGCAGGTGGATCACTTGAGGTCAGGAGTTCAAGACCAGCCTGGCCAACATGGTGAAACCCCGTCCCTACTAAAAATACAAAAATTAGCCTGGCATGGTGGCGCGTGCTTGTATTTCCAGCTACTTGAGAGGCTGAGGTGGGAAAATCACTTGAGGCTGGGAGGCAGAGGTTGCAGTGAGCCAAGATGGGGCCACTGCACTCCAGCCTGGGCAACAGAGCGAGACTCTGTCTCAAAAAAAAATAAATAAATAAAAAACCGTCTGTTAAGAATGCCTCACTGGTGGTATTTACCACCCAAATTCAAAATATGATAAGTTCTTTAGGCTCTAATACTAGGACAGACTGGGTGCCAGTTCTAAATTTAATAGCAGATCATGATTATTTCATTTGTGCTTGGCAACTAGACAACTTTCAGTGAAGCCATTCCCCAGAAATTACACTACAATATTGTTACTTATTTAGAGACCAGGGAGCCAAAAAGAACAACAACTCATTAATAGTGAATGGATGGGAAAGACAGCAGCAGAGGATTGAAAAGCAGCAATACAAACAGGCTTAGAACTATGAACAGCAGCACTAAAGTAGGGATTCACAGAATGAAATTACTGTAACACCAAATAAATATAGCAGCTTAAGTCCACACTTTCTCATTTGAAATATACATAAGTACAGCCATACCACCCCGAATGCGCCCGATCGCGTCTGAAATATACATAAGAATTAAATGTATACTGATTCTAATTTTATATAATCAAAAGCCTAAAAATCATATACCAATAGAAATACTGGTAAATTTAAAAAGATTCTCCCAATTTTGGCGCTACTTCCTTCTTCTATGAAAAAATTCATAAGGGGGAAAAAATAACTTCAGACTCTAAATGATGAATGTAACTATTAGGAGTGGACTCTCTATGAGGTCTGAAATAGAAGGAAAATGTACAGTTCTTCCAGAGCTGTAGCCAACAATAACTTTTGCATTCCGAATCCAGCTTAGGTACATTGGTTGGGAAGATGTTTGCAAAAGTATTTAATAAGAAAGTGCTGAATTTAGCCTTTATTTTATCCTCAGTTTTTTTTTTTAATGGCCCAAGGGCCATCAAATGCACTAAACAGAAACTCTCCTAAATATAAATGACAAAAGAATATACTACTCTACAGCTTTTTTAAATTTAATTTTTAATTTTTGTGGGTAGTTTTTAATATTTTATTTTTAATTTTGGTGGGTACACAGATTTTTTTAATTTTTATTTTTTAATTTTTGTAGCTTTCTTCTTAAAGACAACTGTCTTTTACAGATCAGAGGTTATCAAACTTTTCTGCAAAAGACCATATAGCAAATATTGTCAGTTTTACAGGCCATATAGTTTCTGTCACAAATACTCAATGGCACAGAGCATGAAGGCTTCAACAGACAACAGATAAATGAATAAGCCTGGCTATGGTGCAATAAAATGTTATTTACGAAAACAGGCAGCAAGCCCATGGCCATAGTTTGTTGACCTCTGTTATAGGTCATCTGTTTTTAACTTGACTAACAAGTATATTATTTTAATAAACATTATAAATTTTGAAATAAGATGTCTGGGATTTGCTTTAAAACACTTCATTTAAAAAAAAAAAAAAAAAAAAAGAGAGAGAGTAGGGAAAAAGATTAAATAAGACTGAAAAAACACAATTATTGTTAAAGCCAGATTATGGATATATGGATATCATTACACTATAAGTTTGTAAGTTTGAAAATTCCCAAATTAAGTTTTTTAAAATACAAAGTAAATCAATGAACCATCTCTACAGAAAAATGAATATTGTCACCTTACTCTAAACCTTTTAAAACACACTTTTAAAAACATAAACATAATTAACATAATACAACATAAAAGGTTCTTAATATAAAGCCACTAAACTATAATGAAAAAACTTAAACTAATCCACAAAAATGTACATAAGCATAAGCCCTTAAAATTTTCCATAATTTAAAATATAGGCTCATTTCATACAGTTGCTAAATATGTTAAATTTATCGGTATCTCATCTGAAAGGTGTTATCAATTTTTGGCTTTAGAATATTTTTATAAGAAATATATTATTTATATTAACATATAATAAGTTTATTACTTCTCAAGTTAATACATAAATTTCTTTCTTTTTAAATTCTCAGTAATTCTGGGCAACATGGTGGAACCCTGTCTCTACTAAAAATACAAAAATTAGCCAGGCGTGGTGGCATGCCCCTGTAATCCCAGCTACTTGGGAGGCTGAGGTGGGGGAAGAGCTTGAACCCAGGACATGGAGGATGCAGTAAGCCGAGATTATGCCACTGGACTCCAGCCTGGGCAACAGAGTGAGACCTTGTCTCAAAAAAAAATTTTTTTAATAATAAATTTCAAGTAATAAATATTAATAGATATAATCCTCATAAACAAATATTCTTCAGAGTCTTCAATGATCCTTCAGTAAAAGGATCCTGAGGCCAAAAAGTTTGAGAACCTATGACCTAAATGTTTTCAATGTTGTACAAAGTAAGTTCGTTCTGCAATTATAAGACATATGCTCAAACTCATTTTACCTTTGAACAGTAATCATCACACAGTGGTGTTAATCCAACTGTGAAGGCTATCAATATACAGCCACAAGAGGAAGACACTTAAACTTTCAACAGAAATATTCTTTTAAACTACCTGATAAGCATGAATAACATATCCACAGGAAAAGAAGAGCGCTATAATATGTTGTCCCCCAGCTTATACGGACAATTGTCTCCTGAACCAATATAATGAAAAACTAGTATATGTCAACAGACATTTCTAATAAATATGCTACCTGTTACCAACTCAAGAGATGTAGTCTCACTCAATGCAAGAAACCAGAAATCAAGCTGAACAGAGCCTTGAGAAAGAAATCTTAATGACTCTGCAATTTCCCAAAGATTATACATCTGTTTTTTAAATGCTCTAAGTTTTTCCCCAATGTTCTGAAATATAGTGATTTCAAATACTATCAAAACTAAAAACTAATTTAAATTAGGATTATTATGACAGTTGAAAAAAACTAAGAACTTCCATGTGAAAACATTTCAACTGTCCAAGAATATACTCAGTCTCAAACTTTTCTAAATCTATAAACTAGAATAGAAATAAACAATCCACAACACAGACTCTGGCAAATAATAATTAGGGCAAATGTGTTTACATGATTATTCATTCTATCATTTATAAAGATGAGCCAATACTAATTTTTCAAATACAGTACCACTGTATCATTTTTAACAAATTTTGCCTCTTCATATGGCAATTTAAAATGTTACCACAGTATTTCATTTTTACTTGATTAAATACAAATTATTTCCAAGTTAAGTTTTACAAATGTTGCTGTACCTATTGTCTTTCAACATGAATAAATTTAAAATAGTAATAGCAATAGCATGCAGGGACGTACTTACATCATACTCTGTAACTCTGCTGCAAAGCTTATAGGCTTCCCCGTACTCCTTCCACTACTTGAAGTTGCAGAAGCCATTGGACTAGCTGCAGTATTATTCATCTAAATAAAAAGGAGAAATAAAGCTTACAAAACATACCTAGCTATAAGTAAAAAAAGAAAGCAAATACAAATTACTTCAAAAAGTAGAGAAAATTTAAATTTCTGATTTCTGTTTTGAATAAAACTGATTCACTTATACTGAACGTTCTATATTAAAATGAAACAGCAAGGTGGAAAAAAACAAGTTAAGATGTTGGCCAATTATCCACTTCAATGATAAACACTTTAGCACCTATTTTACAATAGGTAATGTAAGAAACAGTATTTATCAACATATTTTACTAGAGCTCATTGGTTTTCAAAATGTGCTTCAGGGAGCCCTATGGTTCATCAGCAATGCTTCAGGATGTTCCAGGTTGACCCTAAGCACAACACACCCCCAGCTTCATTCAGACTACCAGAGCAACTCTGATTTCTCTAGTTGAAATATGAAGGTTCCAAGTAAGATTTCATTTAAAGAAACAATTCCACAGCTAAAAGATGGAAAATTAGAAAACTACAGCATAAACTAATTCCCATTTGAACCAAAGCCTGAAATACAAATGTCAATCAGTAGATCAAAAGTACTATGATATTTTATAATCCTATGGGTAAAAAACTTACTCAATTTAAAAATATGTCTTTTTCCCAATAAAATTAAGGTGATCCAATAATGATAATTGGGTGCCAATCTAATGTATGCCATTTTATTTAATGCATTAAAAACATTAGTAAGCAAGATTTAAAATAATGTCATGAAAGTAGGCAAAGCCTCAACTATTATACTCATATACTGGAAGTGCTCAAGAAATGTTAGCTATTATTTCTTACGTTTGTATAAACTTTGCAAAGCTGTACTTTTCCTTAAAATATTTTTTGCAGATTCTAAAGAAGAATGTAAGATATTTAGAACATATGATAAAGTAAAGCAGTGCAGAGGACTTTCAGTAAACTAAGAGGGCGAGTTCTGGAGTCAGACTGCCTAGATTTGACTCCCAGCTCTGCTCCTTTGCTAAGACTTTGGGCAAGTTACCTAACTTCTCTGTGCTTCAGTTTCCTCATCTGTAAATGGCAATGATAATCCCACCATCTTAGGGCAGTTGTGAGAATTGAATGAATACATACAAACATTTAGAACAATACTTATAGCACACAGTGAATATACAATCAATGCTAGCTATTATAATGAACAGACCTTAAGAATTCCCTCTTCCCTTAAAGGGGAAGTTAAAGAAGAAAAAAGAATTCCCCTCCTTGAACTGCTAAAAGCTTTTACATAAATTTAGATGTATTACCCCTTTTCTCACAATCACACAAGTTTTTAAAACTTAAACATTTTTACTGAAAGATCTCCAGGCAACTAAACAAATATTAAGTAGCTTCCTTATAAGTTGAGTTTTCATTGATGACATCGCTACAACTACTAGTCACTTGGGCTCAATATCTCAGTCACTACCTTTGACTCCTTCTCCTACACCCCACAATTTGCAAGAAATCAAGTAAATTCTACTTTCTGTATGTTCTCATATCTTTCCCCTCTTGTGCTACTGCTATGGGCCTCTAAAAACTTTTATTTACATCTTCTATCTCCATCTCAGTTCATTCTCCATACTACTGCCAAATTTATCTTCTTTATGGGTCACTTACCAAGGGCTGTTATGGAAGGGCTGGGCCCCACAAAAGAAGGTTGGGGGAAAAAAGCTATTACAAATCACTGCTGGAGATAGGCCTTATATGAAGCTTTTAAGAAGGCGACAGGACAAAGATCCAAGGCAAGCAGCACACTAGCTAGGTGACTAGGTTTGGAATATCCCAATATTCCTCTGGTCTAGTCGGAGGCCCTAACAGCCAGGCCAAAACCACTATACCAAAAATGCAAGAGCACAAGAAGAGAAGGAAAACAAAAACATTCCACTCAAACTGGAACTTGAAAACCAAAATTCTCAAACATATGAAGAACATAATGCTAAGAAAGACCATCACTTTTGTTAAACCTAAATTTGTGCCACTGTTTAAAAAGACTTTTGGAAAAAGTACTTTTCTCTACAAATAACATAGGAAAAGAAACATAACCATTTGAGACTTGGATTAAAAAAAAAAAAAATACATCACAAGTCCAAGACTGGGGGAAAATAGGAAACCATGGACTTTCACAAATAGTCCTGCAGAATCAGGACAAAATGCGAAAAAAGGGAGCCTGGATTTCTCAAAGACCTCAGAAAATGTTCCTCTCTTGTTCCAATAGAAGGCTGACAGAGCTATCCTGGAGAACATGTTAAACTCAAAAGAGTATGTATTAACCCTAGCCTCCAGAAAGTTATGATTTGAGTTGACTTGTCAGATTTGACAGACATGCCATTCCGTGGGATTATCCTATGGTCAAATGTCCTGAGACATTGCTGGAGAGATCTGGTCCTTTTCCATTTTCAAATCCAGTCACCCAAACCTAGTTTATTACAACTATCATCATCCTTTTCACAGTCAAGTCAATTTTTACATCAAACAGGTGAATAACATTTTTCTTGACATGATGAGCTGGTAGCTCATTAGACTCTTTAATTATTTCCCGTACCCACATTGTTTGATGATTTGGATAATTAACTGCTTTTGACATTAACTTCTTTACACATCAAAGTCCTATCATTCCAATGCTCTATTTCCTTTCTTCTAGACATTAAGAAAAAAAAAAAGTCTGTTAAAAGCAGGAGCACTCAATTTTCACTAATAAATACAGTTACCGTGGAACTGAAAACCTACTGTAATCTCCTCAATGGGTTAATGTCCTGCAGTTGTTTCAGCTTTCAATTGAAATGCATCTGTTTGCCATATTTTACAAAATGAATTCAGATGTGCAGATTGGGACCTAGATTATTTCAACATGCCAAAGTTTGAATGTGAACCCAAGGAATAAGTTCCTATCTGATTAACAGTATTTAAATCTGATCATTAAGCTAATAACTAATACTATAACACACTTGTAAAATTGTATTTCAGAGAGAAAAAACTGCCATTTACCTTTTAATTTAAAACAATGGAATGGATACACTCCTTTCCTCAGAAAATACTGCTATCAAAAAAAAGTTTTAATTGTAGTGAAGTTAAATATCACAGAAAGTGAATTAAACAAAATGCAATGAACATGCTACTGGGTTTCTAGTTAGAGCTCATATTTTGGGGGACTAAATGACCACAGAAGAAATATCATGAAACATCTTGAAGCTTACAAGGCCTGAAATTGTTGAGAACCTTATTATTAGTTTCTGCACCATCCAAACATCATCAAAATCTGGACTGTGAAAATTATCAGTCAACCCATTAATTTTTTAAAAAGTTTTCATCATTTCTTCTATACTGCTGAAAGGAAATATTTCAGCAGACCTACGTACCAATTTTGAGCATCTACAGAGTCTCAATTGTAATGATAACCTGAACATCCCACATAAATTAACAGAAAACTTTTATAATTAGAACATTTTTATTTTCATAAAATTCCAAAGGCAGGAGGCAATTATAGTTAAGCCAACACTATTATACACAGCGTTTTGTTGTTTAAAAAAAAAAATCAGGTTACATCATGATCTAAATTTCTTCTAATGTGAAAAATAATACCAAACGGTCAATCACTGAGCATGCAAAAAATTAAAAATTAAATATTCAAAATAGCTATAAAAACTTCTAGACCTACTGTTTAGAATAACACAATGGTAATTTCAATATATTAATATATGCCCCATTTTAAGTGGACTTTGGAAGGTATTAAAAAGCCTGGTTTATAAACTTATTTCAAATCAGTCCCACCTGGCCTCCCCAGCCACCTTTCCTACAGCAGTCAAATCAAACTTTCACTATCTTCAGAGCCATCCCATCTTCTTTTGAACCTTTACCTCTACAGTTCTTTCTACTCACAATACCTTTTGAAACAATACAATATCTCTCGACCTATCCAAACTCTACTGACCTAAGCCCATCTCCAAGAAAACTTCCCAGATACATAACAAAAGAAATTCTTTCTGACATCTAATTATTTTAGTTTAATTAGTTTAATGTTTAACTACTTTAGTACATACTAATTATTTTAGTTGAATAAGCCTCTGTCCCACAGTGAATCCCTCCCCCAACTATGGACAGATGACATCATCTACTTCCAGAGAAATGAAAAGCTATCATTTAGTCATACCCTCCACTCTCCTCCACCAAAAACACTGTATCCTCCCTTCATTCCCACCTCTTATAATAAAGACAGTCTCTTATTTAAAGCCAATGCCACCAGTGATTTGGATTCTTCATGCTACTGGGTATCTGCTACAGGCCAAACACTGTTCTAAGAGGCAGGGATAAAGCAATGACTAAGTCAGACAAAAGGAAATATACTACAATGCAAGAAACAAACAAATATAATTTGAGGTAATAACAAATACTATCAAAAAAAAACAAGTTGATTTCAACTAGAAGATGGCATTTAATATAAGATCTGGGAGGGGGCTCAGGAGAACTTCCCAATAAAAAGAACGGCAAAGTACCAAAATCCTGTGGTCAGTGTGGCTAGAGACGCGAATACAGAGGTAGCAAGAGGGCAGATCTTATAAAGCCTTCAGGCCACAGGAGTTTACATTTCACTTGAGTGTAATGTGAAGCTATTAGAGAATTTTGAAAAGGGAAGTCACTTGAAATGTTTTAGGTTTTAAAAGATAACTCCAGCAGCTGCAAGAATATACTCTACAGAAGCAAGAGTGCAATCAAGTTAGGAAGTTACTGAGGTTGTGCAGACAAGAGATGACAGTGGCTTGAATTAGTTTAACAAGTAGAGATGACGAGAAGTGGTCAGATTTCTGGAATATATTTTGAAAGGAGAACTGATCTGCTGACGGATTAGACATGGGGTGTGACAGAAGAGCAGTCAAGGATGACTGAATCCTGGGGGCCTTGGAAACTGGTTGAATGGTGGTGCCATTTACTGAAATCCGGAAGACTGAGGAGGGGAAAAAAAAACAGTTCAGTTGGGGCTATGTTAAGTTTGAAAC